AAAAGATGACTGGTAAGGGGATCTTAACCTTTGACTTGGTGTTGTCAGCACCGTGCTCACCCAGTGAGCTAACCAGCCATCCCTATATGGGATCCGAACCCGTGGCCTTGGTGTTATCAGCACCGCACTCTCCCGAGTGAGCCACAGGCCGGCCCTGAAGTACCTTTTAACACAATTTAAAAAACCCCACAGGCCTCTGCATTTATCTGTATGTACTTTGGCACAAAAGGAGGTCAAGAAATTTAAGAACAGCCAAAATTATTAAGCGGAGGAAGTGAAGGACAATTATAATAGCTAATTATCTTAGGCAAACGGTGACTATGAAAAAAAAGGTACAATCAGGATGTCTGCTCAATTAGAAAGCTACAGATAATTCTGCGATAATTTTCATGGTGAGTGAATAACTGTGGAATAAGAAAACCTTCATGGAAGGCAATTCTAGGAGACTGAAAACAGGACAGGGTAAAACTGTGTTGTCTACATTGTTTTGGGGAAGAGGGGTATTACCTTGGGCCTTATCTAGTCCAATCTTGAACTGTAATAGAGATAGCAAAGGTTTTACAATGGAGAATAACGTAACTGAAGCATGAGAGGTTACTGCTGATGAGGTTACACGAATTTAGTTTGAGAAAATGAAAGCTAACTGGGTTGCCCAGTTAGCTCAGTTGGTTAGAGTCTGGTCTTATAACACCAAAGTCAAGGGATTGGACCCCCTTACTGGCCAGCACTGCCCCCCCCCAAAAAAAAAAGGAAAAAGGAAAAAGAAAGGTAAGAAGTACAATTATAAATTTAGAAGATTATGAATGGCACATACACATTGAACCCCGTCTTTTTTTCTCATCCAAACTTGAAGCATTTGGCTAACAATGCCTTTACAAACTTGAACAAGATACCCACTTCACATCAATTATATGGGAACACTTTACACAGTAGAGGTGGTATGGCCAAATGACTGAGAACATGAGCTCTGGAAATCAGACTCTATGTGGTCATAACCCCACTCTACCAACTACCAGCTGTGGGACCTGGGGCAAATTTCTTAACTCCCTATGTCTCAGGTTCCTCAACTGGAAAATGGAGGTAATAACAGGACCTTCTCACAAAGCTGTGGTGCTGATTATAACACACACAAAGAACCCGGAAAAAATGGTCTGGCACATGGTAAGAATTTACTATAAAAATCAGGAAACAAATTTATTTTTTATTTTATTTTTTAATTTTTATTTTTTTAAAAGATGACCGGTAAGGGGATCTTAACCCTTGACTTGGTGTTGTCAGCACCACGCTCTCCCAAGTGAGCAACTGGTCATCCCTATATGGGATTCGAACCCGTGGCCTTGGTGTATCAGCACCGCACTCTCCCAAGTGAGCCACGGGCTGGCCCTATTTTTTATTTTTTTAATTTATTTTTATTTTTTAGTCTTTTTTTTTGTGACCGGTAAGGGGATCTTAACCCTTGACTTGGTGTTGTCAGCACCACGCTCTCCCAAGTGAGCCACGGGCTGGCCCTATTTTTTATTTTTTTAATTTATTTTTATTTTTTAGTCTTTTTTTTTGTGACCGGTAAGGGGATCGCAACCCTTGGCTTGGTGTTGCCTGCACCGTGCTCAGCCAGTGAGCGCACCGGTCATCCCTATATAGGATCCGAACCCGCGGTGGGAGCGCCATGGGGCCGGCCCTAAATTGATTTTTTAAAGGCTTATATATATTCAGCAATGGAAAATGAATGTATGGCTACTAATAGAAGTGGGACATACCCAACTTTAAGGTTAGTGGAGTCTGAACAGGATGAACCAGTAAGGTAGTGCCCATTTTTCATAAATTTTCACCTCTAGAAAGTAATGACTGTTGGCTTTCCTAACCCTTTCTTCATTACTTTTGCAAAACGCATAAAAGCAATATGGAAAAAAGAGATAGAAAAGAGATAATTAGATCTGCAGGCAAGGTGATGTCCTCAGAAACGCCACTGTGATCCAATGGGACAAACTGATGATGTTCCCACCCTTCTAGGATTTCACATCTATTTAAAAGAGTGGGAGATGGGGCGGGGGCAGGTCTATTACTTCACCTTCAGTTATGGCACTTTTTCCTCTTCACTCCACTGTACTCTACAAAGGTCTTCATAGTTTCAGTACCAGGCCAGGCTCTTGCCTGCCTCAGGGCCTTGGCAAGTTGATCCCCCTTCAACTTGGAACACTCACTGTAACTTCCTCGCCACCCTCCTGTGGCTGCTTCTTCCTCACCCTAAATTCCCAGCTTAAAAAGTTGCCACCCGTGATACCCTTATCTAAAGTAGGTCTCTCTTGTTATTTTCTATTTCAGCACCCAGTTTGTTTCCTGCACAGCATGGCATTTATCACAATTTGTAATTATTTTATTTGTTTACATATTTATCTATTTTTAATGTCACCTCTATTAGTTCTATGAAGTCAAAAAACACCTTTGTTCATTATGTCATCCTCAGCTTAACACATTGACTAGCACAGTAGGCACTCAAATATCTATTGAATGAGTGAAGCAATAATCCCTAAGGCCCCTTTCAGCTAAAACCAATAATTATTAAGTAACAAAACAAAAAATATCCATTGTAAAGGGGGAGGCTTTTACTTCTGGGTCTAGGAAATATCTAAGTGGCGCCTTACTATGATCAAATTAACCAATGGCTTCATTCCAAGAAGTTTAGTTAGAACTTGACTGATGTAATCTATTAATGAGTAACACTCTTCCCAAACAGTGACTTTGTAAGTTTTGCTTTCAGATTTGCCTTACTCATTTTAACAACTGGTTTTCTAGGCCCAAACTTTTGTCCAATAATGGGATGGTTACATAAGAATTATCTGAGAAACTTAATAAAAATACAGATTTGTAGATCAAAATCCAGGAGATTTTGATTTAGTATTTGTGAAGTAAGGCTCTCGGATCCATATTCAGTTACTTAAAATGTTTCTTATTTTGAACAGATATTACGTTTAAACAGTACACAATCCAAAAGGTAAGAAAGAGCTGGCCTTTAGCTCACTTAGGAGAGTGTGGTGCTGATAACACCAAGGTCGAGGATTTGGGTCCCTGTACTGGCCAGCCGCCAAAAACAAACATGTAAAGCACTTAGAATAGTGGAGAAAGTTCTCAGTAGATGTTAGTTAGTATTGTTAGAACTATTTGGGCTCCCAAGACAGGGTACCACAAGGGTACCAATTCTCAATACTACAAAAGCCTGAAAGCCCCACCCTGGCTGGCTCTGGGTCCCATCTCAGATGCAGTTATTTGATACTTTTAACCACATGCCAGGCAAACCAATGGATCCCTCTGCCAGCGGAGCTTGGACGCACTTGATCCACGTGAGGCCAAGGGCCTCCTGCAGCCTTTCTGAAGGGCTGCCCAAGTTAGCGGGGCACGCCATGAAACTATCTCCACCGCAGCAGGGGTTGGGGTGTGGGAGAGAGAAAATGGGTACAGGGAAGCTGATGGAGTTCGGATATTTTATCGTCCCAGAACTCATGTGGAAATTTGATCCCCAATGTGGCAGTGTTGGAAACTGATTGAGTCGTGGGGGTGGATCCCT